TCTTCCTTTTTGTGCATTGACTCAAATCCATTGTCAAACCTCACTCAGCTAGCTAAATATGGAGGTACTTATGGCTGAAAATGAATTATGAGTCGAACCTATTTGCAAATCTAGCGAGCTCCCCTTGCATGCAATGATGTGGTAGTGAACCTCATTAATTATCAATGTTATTTTTTAAATGGAGAGAACCTACTGCCAAATCGCAGCCATAGTTCTCTCACGACAGGAGCAGTCCCGTCTCGAGGACTTACAGGTCGTTTGCTTGTTGGATTTGTATCAAGGATATGTACCAAAAATCCTCATGATCAAGGATTTGGTAAAACTCCATTGTTTGCTTGGCAAAACATTTTGGAGACAAATATGCAAGGCCAACTAATTTGGTTTATTTTTTTCCCCAAATTCATGGGCCTCATAGATTTATAAATCCCCTCTTGCTATTTTATTCCCCACTGTCAATTTGTTTCCCCACACTACTCACACCTTCCACCAGAGAGGTACAATAAAAAGGAGCAGCTGCTGGAAAATTGGAGTTGGAGAAGAAGAGCTAAGGATGATGCTGGTTTCGTTGGAGTCCTGTCGTCGTCGACCTCCAGGGGAGAACCTATGACCAATGTTATCACGAATCCTCCACCCCTATCTCCTCTGCTTTTTCAAAGAACCCTAATGATATTGGATGGAGATGGGTTATGGTTTTTCTAATATTTTGCTTGGATGGAACTGTTTTGGATAGAAGCTCAATAGCTGACTTGTTAGTGCAAAATAAGATGGAGAAAGAACCGTATACAACTCATTTCAACTTGCATAATCATAATTAGATGCTTTTTGATACATTTGTTTTTACAACTAACTTTTATATTGATTCGGGCCTAATTGTACACATTTTACCCCTCATTTCTTGATAGTTTGGCTTTGCATTTCATTGTCCCTTGACATATTTCACGCTAGGTTGTGCTTGTTTTGATAAATTTCAGGTCCTAGCACGTGTGGAAGGGTCGAGGACGAGTTTTGGGACGATTGGAGGTCGAAAATTACAGAAACCGAGGAAAAGTCCAAAGGAGACCGTGACCCCGTGACAATTAAGCACAAGCGTCCAGGAAGCAGCTACAGTTCACGGTGGAAGCAGTCAGTTCATGGTCACACAGGACGGTGAACTGGAGCCACAAATCCTGAACTGGCAAGGTTCCAGAGAGTTTTCAGAGGTTACTGACGCCGAGTTAGTTCACAGTCACATGACCGTGAACAAAAGCCATGGACCGCAAACTGGCTTTATGAAACGGCGCGTCTTGACCTGAGTTCACGGTTCCCGCCATTAGTTCACGACCGTGAATTGGGACCTTGAACTGGGCGTGACTGGGTATAAATAGAGAGCTGAAAGGAGGAAGAAGGAAAAGCTTTTGGAGGGTTTTAACTTTCAGAATAAAGGGGGTTTTCTAATTAGAGATTAGGGTTTTCTCTTCCCATTCTAGAGAGAGAAAGGGCCACTCAAAGGAGGAAGAAGGAGATTGGGCTTGCCCTAAGTTAGAGGAGTGAAGATTCTTACCTCTCAAGTGTGATTCAAGCATGGAGGAAGGACGATTGTCATCTCTTCATGGTTCTTTCTCTCATTTTTCTTGTTTTCCTTTTCCTAGCTATGGAATAGCCTACCTATTCACTTGGGTGTTGTGAATCCTAGCTTGAAATATGTGATAGATTGTATTAATTGAATCTTTGTGTGTGAGTTTGCGTTTAATGCAAAGTTTATGGTTGGGTTGTGTTCTTCATTTCTCATTACTTTGCCAATTTGACCTAGGTACAGGGAATAACCCTTTTTGTTAGGAGGCTTATCGTCAAGGGCAAGCACAAATAAATGCGAGCCTTACTCAATTGGCGGCTTCATGGGGAATTAGTGTGCCAGTCGTAGTAATCCAACAAGAAGCTCTGTTGCATATAAGGAATCCAAATCCAGAGCAGATCAACCATTTGAGGCTACCATTGAGACACAATAGACAAGTCCAGACGTCTTTGACATCGAGACACAAGAGATCAACCATTTGAGGCTACCACACAAGACACAAGAGACAAGTTTCTCATATTTATTTGTGATTGATGATGCACTTTTAGAAGAGGAAGCCTACCGGGAGAATCGACAAGAAATTCAGTGATGCGTAGAGAGCTTTTATCACAATGGTGTCTCTACGATTTGTGAACGAATTGTTCTTAAGAAGGGGGAATAATACGATCTTCAACAATACAATTTTTTAGGAAGACCAAGAAGAGTGGTGCTAGTTGTGGTTCAAGATTCTATAAAGATTCGAGGTCGAATCTTCTTTAAGAGAGAGTGAATGATGTGATATTGACTCACACGATATTTAATTCCCGTGGCCCAAAAATGAAAATTCGAATTCAACAATATATGAATCAATTGGGAGCGTTTAAGATGAGCAGAAGGGCAAAAATGGAAGTGTAAATTACAATTGATGGGAAGTGTGTGCGCGTGTACGTAGATGATGGTGGGCGTGTGTGCTCAAGCAAGCTGATCAAGCAAATGAAAGTGGACACGTGGGTTTCTTTGGCATGATCAATTGGTATGGCTGGCTTTGTAGATGAATTAGTTGAGTTGGTTAATTAAGCTTGGTAATAGCAACGTGGAGGAAAAAGACATGGAATTGTGGGATGGGATAGTGTCACTTGGGGAAGGGAGTTTCACATCTAAGGGCAATTTGGGTATGAAAAAAAAACAGAATTTATTAATGATTTTTTTTTTGTATTATTTACAAAATGGGAATTAAAAACTCATATTAAATACATATTTGTTAAATATTAAATTCTAAAATCAATACATTTTTATCTCTCTCTCTTCCTTTTTCAGCAGCCTCTTCGCTCCGATCGCCAAACTATTTCCGACCGACAGACTTTTTCCTGGTGAAATACTCCAATCAAACCCGCTCCGGCGATCTGCAAAAAAACCACTCTGTCAGTGCTCTAGTGGTACTGATTTCGTCTAGTGGTACGGTACCATTGGTAGTCATACGCTAGTACTACCACTAGTAGCAGTACCAGTGATAGTGGTAGCGTTGTACCGCTACCAGTGAGTGGTAGTACGCTAACGCTACCACTGTTACCGCTACCAGTGAGTAATGGTACCGTACCACTAAAGATTAACATAAAAAACTAGATATGGAATATGAAAAATCCCAGATCTGAAAAAAATTAAGGGATGAGGAATGGAGAAGGTAGGGGAGAGGTCGTTACCTTTGCGACGACTGCGATAGTGGATGAGGGCGGCGACAGAGGATGACGGGAGAGAGATGGCAGTGATAGGGGGTGGAGGGAGGCGACGGGGAAAGTGTGATGGTGCGGCAGTGGTGAGAGGTAGAGGGCGCGACGGCTGTGGCGGGAGGGTGGCGACGGTGGAGGGAGGAGGGAGAGATCGAGGCGGCGGCGACATGGAGAGACGGAGGGGCTGGCAGCGGCTAGAGATTTGAGGGGATGGAAGAGAGAGGGGAGAGAGGATGTGTGTGAGGTGGGGGGGGGGGAGTTATTATTTTTCTTTATGAAAATAGATTATATAGAAAATGAGAAAGGATCCTGTGTGGTAATATTTTTTCATTCCAAAATCACCCTTCTTTTAATTTTGACCATCAATTTGAAAAAGAAGAAAGAGACATGAGAGAGATCGTATCCAATGACTAGTAAGTGGGTGGTCAATATCACAACCCCTTTGAGGTTTATGACCGTATCCCATCCCTGGAATTGTGCTGGGTGCAATTTTTGAGAGGCGAGGAATTTTAAAGTCAGCAACCGAATTCTCTATTTCGCCCAGGTAAAAGAAGCGGACCATGCGGCACATATTTGGGATTAATTTGTTTAATTATTATTCGTAGGAGTTTAATTAGTATTTTTAATCTTTATTTAATTAGTATTTTGTTTTCTACTTAGTTTGGGATTTGTTTTCCTATTCCTTTTAGATTAGTTTTATGTTTTTTAGTCATCTATAAATAGAGAGTGTAAGACCTACGAATTTTGTACCCAAAATTTCAGTTATCAATTACATTGAGTGTTTACTTTAGTTCATTTGTGAATATTTGCTTAATCTCTCGTTTGAGGCTTCAGGAGAATAGAGTGGTCTCTTATCAACTAGAGAACGCGTCTAGTTGTGGCGAGCATCGACTATATCGATTGGCCTTATCCACGGGTTCGGGATTGTTTGATTGGTTTCATAAACCAATTGACCCTTCTCACGAGTTCGGATTTGTTTTATCGATTTCCGCGAATATTCTTTATTTTCATGTAATAGAAGAAAGAAGGAAACCCCAAAAGAGTTTGACATTGCGCAATTCTGATTTTTGGTCCAAGTTTGGGTGGATTCTCGAATTAGGATCATAACAGGTACACATATTACGATTCGTGTAAGGAATAAAGACCAGCCTAGTCGAGACCGCAAGGGGAAATTTTAATGAATATATTGGGAGTGGTTAATCAAAACTTTGAGTTTGTGTATGGCTTAGCTGGTTGGTAAAGTTTATCTCACGATAAGAAAGTGATAAGGGATGCTTTGTTAAGCCAAACGGGCTAGGATTCCAAAAAGGTAAAGTCCACGTAACGTCCCAGAAAAACAAGAGATTGATTGTGTATAAGGACTTGGCCTTTACTGATTTATTTTATTTACTAGGAACATACTATCTATGTGATCAAGGATATATCAATTGTGAAGGGTTCCTAACACCATATCGAGGTTAGAGGTATCATAAAAAGAGTGGGGGCTTTAAGGGCTTTAGTAGCTGAGGAATTCTTCGACATGAAGCATGATGTTGCAAGAAATAACATTGAGAGGGTATTTGGAATAAATAAAATGAGATGGGGTATCCTAAGAGATTCAAGTTGGTTCTCCCCTGAACTAGTGGTCCAAATTATAAATGCTTCAACTTATTGCATAATTTCATAAGAAAGAGAAAGGGGTGGATACATTTGAAAGTGATTACACATATACTGAGCCTGAACAGTACCATCTGTTTATGTTGAGCATAGTAAGGACTTTATAACAGTGGTTCTGTAACACTCTAACCCGGCAGGGTACTACTTTTACTAAAATGCCCTTGAAAAACAAAATACTCAAATCTTAAATTTCAACGGGAAAAATTTTTATAAATAAAATACTGAAAACACACACTTTTACTAGCAAAGCCCTAACATGTGGGCAAATTTAACCCAAACTTTAAATTCTCATTCTGATCTCCACTCTATACTCATAATCATAAAATGCAAACAACTAGGTAGTCTCTGTCGTTGCTGCTACTGAAAATCTTAACTAGGCACCCTCCGTGACGCTTATACTGCTCTCCTCTAGCTGGCTGCCCTCGAACTCGCTGCTCACTAAATGCTCATCTAGCTCCTCCTCTAGCTCTTCAAACTAGTGAGTGAGATGGGGTCAGTCTACGCCCTTACGTTTTAACATCTTATTAATACTTGATCACTTTACTTAACTGAGTGGAAGTTGTTTTGTACTTCCACTATTAAAAAGCTTAACTCTTAAAATTGTATGTGAGTTACTGTTACTCCCTTCTTAAATCTCAAAGCTTGACTTAAATCCTTTGACTGACACGGGGATCCCTCACTAGCTAGTCCGGTTGCCAACTCATACGTATGAGAAGCCATCCAGGCTTTCCTTAAACTTAAACTTAGTTAGGGAAGTCGTAATGATTCATCCCCCTAACATCTTAAACTTATCGTGGTGGCTCTTCACCACGATTCTCAAGGGCATAACTGATGCCCATCTTAAAAGTCTCAAGAGCATAACTGCTGCTCTATCTCAAAATGTCTCAAAAGGCAACAGACTGGCGCTAGTGACTAAAAACACTTAAAATGACTTCACCTTCTTGAAGGTGAGTTACTTCTGAAAGAAAACTCGTTTCTTAAACTTTAACCATAATTTATACTCAGGACAATTTCAAAGTAAATAATAACCATTCACTTCAAGTCATAATTCACCCAAAGCACATACCATCAAACATAATCATGCAATCTCAACCAAGAATCAAATACCGCACATACATCACGTAAATCGACACTTAAAAATACTCAAGGTAAATACTTGAAAAAATCATAAGACGTAGAATTTACCCCCTTTACACTCACCTTGACTTCAAGTTGATTGACTTGAATCAATATTGACTTATGTAAACCACTGCACTTGCAACGCCGAGCATCGTCATCATGAACCTTGTGCACTCTAAAACCTCGATTTCCATCTTGTGCTTTCACCTTCCCCTAAGAATAGATAGGTTCAGTTCAGTTGATTATCTAAGTGTGGAATCGCCTTACAATAACTTATCATTACCTTCCAATTCGTTTTTCCCATCATTATGAAGCTTGCCCCACGTGAATTCATGCATGGATGAATCACTACATGCCAAACGAACATTATGGCAATGCTCATCCTCAATTAGAGAGATTGAAGTCATGTCTTACCTTTATACCCATTGGATTAGAGATACAAGCTCCCCTGACACCTTCAATCCCATCCTTCACCATCTTGCTCACGTACACCATGGCAGCATCAATACACAATCATGCTTATTAACGCTCCATAATTGATAAGGTAAAGCTTTGCGAGAGCTCCCTTAGTCCTCTTGGTCTCTCTTTCTTGAAACGTCATCCCAAAACCGGGAATTCCCATCTTGAAACGTCATCCACTAAAGGTTCCCACTGCAATGGCTCGAACCTCATCAAAAACCAGCCACTCCATTGCAGTGATGTGCTCCGACTCGATCGGGAACAAATCCGGGCGGATCTTGAAACCATGGCCGCCATCCCATCCTGTAATCACGATTCACGACGAGAAACTTGTTGGCGAGGGCAATTGATCGCTTGTCAAGTGAGCAGAGAAGGTTGGGATTGTCCACCAGCCATCCTTCCTTTCCGGCCCCTAGTTCGACAGAGGAAAGCACCGCGGCGAATGATGGCGACCCGGTGGTTTTTTGCTTCTTCTCGCTAGGGATTTTGGGAGGCGGTGGTAGCTTTTGATTTAATTTAGGGTTTTCCCATTTAGTGAATGGGGACGGGTGATAGGGAAAATACACTGAGGGCCGAGCGCCCTCCACGCCAATTTCCTTTTTTTAAATAATAATAATAATTATTATTATTATTATTCCTAATCCGCGGTTGCAATCCTTAGTACGTAACCGTTAATCCAACCGTTTACGTATTATGGTCGAACCTGAACCCAAAGATCGGGGTGTAACAGGTTCATCTTTCAAATGAATGGACTCAGTTTAGGGATGCAATGGCAATAAAAATGTGGACAAATAGAAATCGTATAACTGTTGTATACATTTTTAGCTGTTTGTTTCTTGTTGTATGCACTAATGTGTTGCTGTCTAACAAAAGTGTCCATTGTAGCTGTTAATTTCATTGTAAGTTGTCCAAAACTCCTATTGTATTATGGTACTATAAGTCACAAAGGGTTGTTAGAAGTTTCTTGATACTGTATCCAATTTGGTGCAATAATAAGTTAATTGCTATTGTTAGAAGTTTTGAGCTCTTGTTTCAAGTTTTATGTTGCTGTCAATGCAGTGAAAATCGCGATTCTACGTAGAAGCGTTTGGATGAACTAGATGTGTAAAACGTAAGCTTTAAAGTGTAGATTATGACTACACTTGCTAGTGAAAAGGGCGACTCTACGTAGAAGCATTTTGGTGACCTAGAAGTGTAAAAGCGTATTTTTTGTTTTAAAGCGCGATTTTGGCTGCATTGGCTGCTGTTATTTATTGTGGTTGTTTTTTTTTTATACACAGGATGGGTAGGAAGAGCAAAGAGATAATTAAGGTAGGAGAAGGAAGCCAAGCCCCTCAACCCAAGGGTGTTTATTTTCAATGGTTAAAGGAACTGGATTATATACTCATGCGGTGTATGCTTGACCTGGTTGAGAAGCACCAAGTTGAGAATGGAAATTTCAAGAACAGAGCTTTTATTGAACTTGAGAACATGATGCACTTGAGGGCTCCTGGCTGTGTAGTGAAAGTCGATCCAAAGTTTTGATCTAGGCACAAGAAATCAAAAAAGGATTTCATGGTTGTACACTATGTTCAAAGAGTGGTCTTGGTTGGGATGAACAGACTTGCACACCAATGGTTGAAGATGATGTCTTTGAGGATCTTCTTAAGGAAATCAATAATAATTTATGCAATTCTGTCCCTACCTAACCGCCTCTTTCGCATATCTCCACTCTCATTTATTGCTTATGTTGTTTTGCTATTGCAGGTGCATCCGAACAACAAAAACTTGAACATGAAGACTTTCACCTTCTACAATGAGCTACTTAAGATCTTTGGGAAAGGCGATATAGTAGTTGGAAGAATCACATGTGGTATTTCCTATGGCCCAAAGTCACCTAAACATGTCGTCCATTTGGAAGTATTTGACACTCTAATTGATTTAGAAGACCCGAGGGGCACAGAGATCATAGAGGAAATTATAAATGAAGGTGTTCAGATGGAACAAACAGCTCAGCCACATGAAGCTCCCTTAAATAAGAAACAACCATCTAACCCAAACTCTTATGCTTTAAAAAAGGCTATAAGGAGTGAGATGAACACCAATGAAGCTATAGCTAATATGTCTTCCCAACTTGGTGAGTTGAAGTCGATTGTTTTCAAGGTTGTGGAAGCTATTGGATCCATACTTGGTGATCGTGATGGTGACAACAACAAGCAGGCTGCATTGATATAAGAGAGAGAGTAAAATTGATTGGACTGATGCATGGCAAAGTAATTGATGTTGCAATGGATTTAGTAGACAACAAACCAAAGACTCGACTCTGTTATGCTTTTCAGAGTGAGGAAGACTGTTGTTATTTCATCAAGAACTAGTTACGCTGAGTTTGATGGTTGAGCATATCATTGTTAGTATTATTTTGCATACCATATGTGCAATGGATGGGAAACTTCACTTTCTGTGCAAGGTTAGACCACAAGATTTGGCTTTGCTAGTGTTTGGTGGTGGAAACACTATCATCTTGCAGAAGTTTTCTTAGCTTCCCAACATGTGATTATATCTTAGAGGCAAAATCATCCTTGCCTCCTCTTGCAACAATTTATCGCATGGTCAAATTACGTGTGATATACTAAAACAAATCCTTATTACCATGCCCACAACACCCAAAAACCTCGATGGAAATGTTGACACTATTCATCCTTCTTTGCCCGGGACGTCCAATCGAGAAACGGTCTATTCCACCCCATTTGTATCCACATTTTTAATTTAAAAAAGTTGCTTGTGTCTAACCTTCCGCAAGCCACAAAGAGCCCTCTCCACGCTCGCTGATTGCTTGAATATAGTTTGAAAAAACATAGTTCAGGGATGATCTAATTAATAATGAAATTGATACAATCTAAAATGCTTAACCATATTTTATAACCATTCAACGTAGTTAAAATGAATTATCCATGATTTCTTACAATATTTTTGATAATTTATAATTAAACATTCATACTTTTATGCATTATTTATCGTATTTTATAATTAATTAACATATTATTATTTAATTACTCCATCTGAAAAGGGGCTTTACCTCAAACGGCAGAAGGGAGTTAAAAAAAATAGAAAAAATTCATTTAGATAGTAATGCATTTAATCTACTTATTTTAGCATTATTTAAATAACTAAAATTAATTATTTATTGATTTGGACAATATATATGATAATTTATAATTATTCATAATTAATCTATTAAATGATTGAACATAATATAATTATATAAATAAACAAAGTTAGATGAATTTTAAAATTTAGTGACTGTTTTAAAACCGATGCTAAAAGAGACGGTCTGAAACTGGTGGTCGGAGGATCTTGACTAGTCCGAAACCATAGGTCGGATGGTTCTGACCAGACTGGGGTGCCTTTTTGTTCCCAAAATCGGCGTCCAACTGTTGTTGGTCGTCAAGAAATTGACTTTTTAGAGTTTATTTTTTGGATGAAAAGCTGTTTTTTGTGTCGGTAAACGAAATTATTTTGCCTATATTATCTTTTGATCTAACACAGTTTTCTAAAAAAACTCTAGAAGAATAAAATTGTCATTTTCATGGCGACAAATAGTATATTGTGGAGCGACAAATAACAACCTCTATTTGACGCCTGATCAAAACTGTGGGATATCACTGTCTACACTTAACTCTCACTCTCCACAACACCATATCCCCAAACCTATATATGAGATCTTTGTTCTAAAGAAACAAAACAAAAACCAAGCCCGTTTAATTATCTGATTTTTTAATTGGAACGAACAAAACAAGCTCATAAATTTTTATTAATGAGGTAGATGATACATGATAAACAACGAGCACTCTCATTAATTAGAATGGATTATGCATTGTCAATTGATATATATGTGGATGAGTAAGAGAGAAATATTGAGGAGGACACCTATATTAATAAAATTATTATATATTTTATTTATTATCATTTTATTTTTCTGCACTATCTAAAATTATTATTCCTAGAATGATAAATAATTATCAAGTTTTGTTAAATTTTACATGAAAGCCGTATTGGTTAAACCATTAACTAGTTCATCAAAATCAATCTACCTTTGATTATACAACAAAAAAGAGAACCCTATTTTTTGGCATGAAGAATATGATTTTTTAGTAAGGTAGGATGATTGAGTTCAATTTTTTTTCTTTGCAATTGCTTAATATCATATATGATCCAATTGATAGTTACTGAATTTGAATACAAATGTGAATAAATTTACTCGTATTTATTTACCAAAACATATCTGTCCATTGGAAAGAGTATAGATGGAAGAAAAAAATTCATCTTTTGCTAGTTAAGTTTTACTTTAACAAATTAATATCATATATCATGGGGAAAAAAATAAAATAAAATAAAACAAAAATGGTTGTGTTTCGGTTCCAAACCAGAAGGATGGGAAGAGAAATTTGAGGTGCGGCTCTGTTTCATTTCACCCTTCCTTGTCCAATATGAGTAGTACTGCCTAAACACCTATTAATAAACTTCAAGAGAGGCAGAAAAATAGACATATGAATGCCAGAGTAGAGAGAAAATAGCCCCTCCCTCCCACTCGCACCTAATAATTTAGATTCCGCGAGATAGAGGAGAAGAAGAACAAGAAGTAGAAAAAATAGAGGAACTCCGTGAAACTCGATCTACCTTTAGTTGGTCTTCTCTCTCAATCAGACAGACTCCTTATTGTTTAGAATGATAGATCATTCATTCTAAAATACCACCCTGGCCTCCCTCCTCAATTTCGCCAGGGCCCTCAGTCTCACATTTCTCTCCTTGCACGACCAACACAACCAAAACTTTCTTCCTTCTTCTCCCTCCGCCTTCCTGCTAATGGAGGAGAAGCTCCGCCACTAATCTCCCTTATATTCCCGCCGGAAGGCACAACCAAATTACAAACCGGGAGAAGAAGAAGGCAATAAGTCGATCCTAAATCAATAAAAAAACCCAAAATGATCTTCGACATCGACAGTAATGGCAGTATGCGCCGCGTACTAACGGCGAAAGAGCCCTCGCTACTCTTAATCCGACCATCCTCGCCGACAATAGCTCGTCGGGACTCGTTCCTCCCTCCCCGCCACCGTCGGAGCTACTCAGCATCCGACGCTTCCTGCTGCAGCGGGAGGTTCGGCGAGTTGGCCGGAGGGACGACGGCGGAGTGCGCGGCGATTGCATGTTGCTGCCCCTGTGGACTCGCAAATCTTCTCTTCCTCACCATCTACAAAGTTCCTGTGGGACTCTGCAAGAAGGCTATGCGGCGAAAGAGGCAGCAACATCTGATGAAGAAGGGACTCCTCCTCCCACGCGCCCGACGATGCCAGTGCGGTTGTGACAACACCGAGGTTCAGATTCACCCCATCCACGGCGACCCTCAGTCCTTCGACCTCCAGATGATGATGGGGATGCACTTGGATTTTGATGAGGACGACCTCGATGCCACAACAAAGAAGCTACGCTCTGGCGGAGGGGAGGAAATGATGAAGCTGGAGAAGGAGATGTGGGAGACTTTCTACGACACCGGGTTCTGGAGGAGCCCATCACATAGGGAGGAGCCCATCACATAGGGAGGCTCTCGGCGCTGTCGGTGGTGTAAAGAGGAACAATATCCCCTCAGTCTCCGATGAGTCCAATAACCCTAGAGAAGTTTCATCCATGCTTAGAAAAATGTAAGTCCGGGTGAAGTTAAAAAGAGAGAGAAATCTCTTCTGAAAAGATGGAAAATTGAGAGATGAAACTAGAAATGGGGTTAAATGGTTTGAATCTATCAATGCATTTTTGTTTTTTTTTTTATTCTTCATTCTTTCTTTCAATCAAACCCCTTGCAAATATTCATAGCAGTATGTCTGTCGTTATTGTCTCCACCGATAAACTGTTATAATTGTTTTTTACCGGATTGGAGGTTAACTTTTTTTCAATCGTTCATCACTTGAACAACTATATTACTCATTGTAAAAGGGTTTTTTTGTGTTTTGTAATGATTTCCAAATGTACAACAAGCCTGGAATCATGTATGAATTTGAGAAAGCAACCTATAATTGTTTTTGCAGTATTTAGGTTGGTTTGTGAGTATTGATGAATATAATTTGGTCTTGATTTTCATAAATGAATCAATTTCTGCTATTTTTGTGTTCTTCTTGCCATATGTGGTTGAGGAAATGAACAAATTAAGGCAGGAAAAAAGGGGAGACGGATGTTATGTGGGAAGGGGAAGGGTCAAAAAGGTAAACTAAAAAGAGAGAAAACAAAGCCCAGGATTTTACTCGTCTAGTAATTAAGTGGCGATCTCAAAATAAGTTAAGCGTGCAAGTGAAAAAATGTTTGAGATTGTTCATGTTTGTTATCTTTGTCGCCATTCCTCTTGTTATGCTCTTTCCTTTCCATTCTTCATTTGTATTCGCAAACTGAAGCTGTGGGTGTTCCGATCCATACACAGTCAAGAGAGTGCATAAACAAGGTGTTAGAACCAATGTTGACAGAACCGAACCGGAGCATGAACCGATATATTGAATGGTTCATACTTTATTGGTTTAAACGGTATTAGACCGTTGAAAATCGGTACACAATATATATGAATATTATAGATAAGTATTGACATTATATAAATATATGCATTAAAATGTAATAAATACAAATTTTGAGAACTAAGTGGTAATTTGTCTTTGATATATATAAGACCAAAACCCTAAAACCAACCTACCCTCCATCCTCCCCTTGTCCGCCGCACTTCAGTCTTCACTCTCCAAACTTTTAGAGAAACTCTACAATCTCCCCCATCCACCATCCCCACTTTACCTCTCTCAATCTCTCTCCCATCTTCTCCTCCCTCACGTCACATACCCCAACTTCTCCCCTTTTCCTCATTCCACCTTCCGGCGCTATAAATCAAATCCCATTACAATAGATATTCTCGATTCCTTCTTTAATTTCTCTTTCTTCTTCCAATCTTCTTCTGATCCACTAACCCACCTAAATCGTACATAATGTAGTAAAAAAGTGAAGCTTGACTGCAGCGGAGAGCCGACCTGGGAAGCAACCGCAAGCAAGCCGTCGAGCAGCTCCCTTCCCTTCGTCCCCCAGCATCTGGCCCTGAGGCGTTTTTGTGGCGGCAAAGAGATGGGAACTGGTTGGTTGGTTGGAATGGTTTGAGCGGTTAACCACTCTGTCCGCTCAGCGACCGGCCTTCCTAACCGTTGCGGTTTTTAGAGTGTTCCGGACCAGACTGGTCATCGGGTGCTGGTTTTACCGGTCCGACCGGCCGGTTCAGGTCGGCTTTAATAACATTGGTTAGAACGCATTGGGAAATCGACAATGCAAGAAAGCAAAGAGCACAAAGAATTACGTGGTTCATTATCAAAATGTGTGTTAGCTAGTCCACAGGCAGGAGGAAGCCAATTTCACTATATTTGAGGAGATACAGATTATAGAGGTATATGAGAAGTATATATAGTAATTCTCCAAACGGTCCAACCCTAATCCAATATGATAAAAGATAAGGTTGCAGACTTTACCCAAAATAGAAATTCAAATGTGTATAAGCCCATATACTGTGGGTCGGTGGTTGCAACTACTCTCACTACATAGGTTCTGAAGACGAGGGAGATCGACGAGAGGTTTGGGTGGGTACTAGACTAATATCCTTATTATTATTAGTAGTAGTAGTAGTAGGGTGCTAGTATCTCTTATTATTCGCACGCTATCCACTCTATGATTTATTTAAGCCAAAATATTACTTAAATTTCTAGAAAATTTAAAAATGCGATATTCGACACAATTTACTTGTTTGTTTAACCATGTGCGATTTGGACCCTATTTAGGCAAAGCCCAATTTACCCTCATCTTCTTCATCCTCCATCCTTCTTCGGCCTCTTCATGCTCCAGGAAGATATGAAATAATCTTAGATAGAGCAATGATTTGTTGAATTTCCTTATATTTTCCCCAATTCCATTTACAATTAGGGTTCGTGTTTGATATACCTTGTGTTCAGACGAATTGTGAGAAAATATTTAGCTCATTCTACTTATCATGAGACGAAACTTTTGAGGAGGCCAAGCAAACTGCGTTGGATGTGGTCCAGCTGAGAGTTGCTTTTACAACTTGATCCGGTAGTATCTAATTTCCTGCCTGTAGCAATGCTCCCTTCACGAGTTTCTCCAAGGTTGATGCACTCTACAACGATGGTTTCTAAAGGGGGAGGATGAGCCATAATGATTTGCGCATCAGCTCACACCAGAATGGGTTTCTGATGGCAGGAACCCTGTCTATAGCATGGTGATTGACCTATTGTCGATTGGCAGGGGAGGCAAAAACAAAAGTAGTCACGCAGTGTGGGTACTTGGAGAAGGTGAGGGGACTACCAAAGAAATAAAAAAGAGAGTAGGTTTGGGAAGCGGAGTTCGGATGAGAGAAGGAAAGAAGAAGGATGATGTTCATGTGAAGGGGGAGAGGATAATTTTGGACATAATAAAAATAAAACGAGAGATTTCAAAATATTTGACTTCCATCATAATTTTCAAATTTGGTTATAGATGATATTTTTGAATACTTCCAAATGCGTGATTTGAGCGAAATCCTGTAGAATGAGGGATTTGTTCGAAATCTCTCATCCAAACCACCTCTTGGGGGTGAATGGCGAAATATTACACTTGTGAATGACGTTGGACAAAATACTTCATACATGATCATAATAATCTAAGATATAGCTGAATCCAGATGATGGGTCTCTACTAGTAGAATCTTTTTAAACTGACTTTTATCCTTTGTCATATTCGTGATGCGAGCGTTAGTATACCAATACCACTTGGTGTATCAACTAACATTGGACTCACGGAAAAGCAACACTCGTAATTAATAATTCATTAGTTTAAATAAAGGCCGGGAAGGATTATCTCCCTCCTAGGTCAAATGCGCAATACATGAAAATGGAAACCCAACTCATGCCATTCATGAAAACATCCATCAATTAAGTAAAATCATCAATCACTCATGGAGTTTGTCACATACATCAACATTAAACCCAAATCTAGACCAAGGGTTCTTAACCCCAAGAGAACAGTGTGAGTTTCTAGAGAGAGAGAGAGAGAGAGAGAGAGAGAGGAGAGATTACAAAGAAACCTCTAGATCTTCATCTTCTTGTTCTAGGCTTGATTCCTAGCTTCCAAGCTTGATCAATGCCTTCAATTAAGCTCCAAGATCACTCTCTTTCTTACTAGAACTCCCCTTTGATGTTTTGGGTTGAAACCCTAGAGAAAGAAAGTGTTCCTTCTCCAAAAACTAGCTCTCCACTTCTTCCTTCTGCTGCTGTTTTTATACCCAGATCGAGATGAGTTCACGACCTTCCAGTTTACAGTCGTGAACACCTAAACGCGTCTGTGAACTCAATGTCGTCTCTAGAATTGCCTTGTCGTCAGTAACCTCTGGAACCCTCCTGGAGACCTCGATGAAATGCAAAGCCAAACTATCAATATATGAGGGGTAAAATGTGTATAATTGGACCCGAATCAAGTAGTTTGGATATGTTCACTTGGATCATTTTTCTAGTTACAAAAAAATCTCTTTATCAAATAATCCTTGACCTAATTCCAAAATGGGTTATATGTATAATATGCCCCTCTACTATGTCATTTTATCAAACATGCCCCTCTACTATTTTTTACATCAAACATGCCCTAGTACTTTGAGAAAATGATCAAACATGCCCTTCTGTTAAAATTTTCATTGAAAAAAACCATTAATCATGATTGAACCGAGATTTAGACGACTCGATATTGGCAAATGGGAGGGAAATTTTTTAGTTTTGTCCCCTTTTTTATTTCCCTGGTCTCGCTAAAGTGAAATTATAAGAATCATTTGGCTATACAAAAGAACCAAACAAAATTCTAAAGTGAAATTATTATGGATATTTTAGACATTTGTGTCTCCCAAACCAAAGTTTGATCGTGGTTAACAGTTTTTGGATGAAAATTTGAAAATAAGGGTATGTTTGATCATTTTTCCAAAGTACAAGGGCATGTTTGATGTAAAAAAATAGTAGAGGGACGCGTTTAATAAAACGACCTAGTACAAGGGCATATTATACCTATAACCTTTTTAAAATCACATACTTTTAAATATCACTGGACTGAATACCTAAATAAAAAAATTATACTAGTTCTGAACCCAGCGAAGGGGTTTCTAAAATCCAATTCTTTACCCAAAAAAAAAAAAAGAAATCTCGACGTTCGGGGTATCTATTGATGAACTTTGTTTCTCGACGTGTGCAAGACATGCCCGCGATGATGGTACGAGCGATGCTAAGGTGTCGTCCTATCGCCCCAAGCTAGTCGCCGAAGCATGATGTCCAGAGCCCCCACGACCAAGATGTCCTCCAGGCTAGTCCCCAAGGTAAGGATGAAGCATATAAGTATGCAATTAAGGATATGAGAGCCGCTTCGAGAGATGTCGTGCCATCTCATTATAGATTTGGCGATAAAAGTTTGGTACACAAATACAACATATTAATTATATTTTGACGAAGGGATGAAGATTGAGTGGAAGGATAACTGTGAAATTAAGAGAGGGGATGGATTATCATGTTTTTTCTTTTATTTTAAAATATTTTTTTATTTAAATTATTTTGATGAAGGATGTGGAAAACAATTTCCAAAGTAACAGAGACGTCAGCGGTCAACTTATGAGATATCCCACAGTTATATAGAGCTTGCGGTATTGTGTTTCCCATATGAGGAAACCCCGTATTATAAGTTATGTTCATGTTATAACTTATCAGTAAGTAAGTAAGTTGGTGACTGTGGTTGTGTGCTAGTTAGGTAGAGCTCGGAGCCTCTTTTAAGTAAGCTAAATGAAATCTTTTGACTATGTACATTCGAGTATGTTGCCCTTCTAAAATTGTTAATTAACTTTACTTTAAAGATAATTGCACCTTTTAACAAAAAAAAAAAGATAATTGCACCTAGGATTGACCCACACCCGCACTCAGGAGCTATTAGAGAGCAGGAATGCATAGACCAGCCGCAGGGACACGATTGCTGCTCAGGATGTCGTCACAAGGGTTAGTGGCAACAGACGCTTTATCAAGAACTTATTTTTCTTTATGCATTTCGCATTAGTAGACTTGAGACAAATGCTCGCTTGTTAAATTTACAAAAGGAGTCATTTGGATAGTGTATTTGAGTGAGTTATTTATGAGTTACTTGGACACAAATAACTTATTTGGCAGCATTTTGCTTAAATGAGTTATTTGGCAAGTGAGTTATTTACAAATAACTCATACCCCCTGTGTTATTTCGTAATAACTCGTTTTACCTCTCTGTTTTGCCAAATACCACATGCCAAATACCAAATTTGAATGATTTTACCAAACTAGATACTTTAATTCAATTACCATTGAAATAACACTGAAATACCACATGAACAATTACTGAGTTATTTGACTCTACAAATACCACATTGACAATTAATCCATCCAAACAACCCCTAGAGTATTTTTCAGTTTGGGATTTGGTTTTGGATTATGGATGATTTTGAAGGTTTTATTCCATGTCAATGATTTATTTATGATTCTCAAGGGCATTTTGGGAATTAAATGACCGATCGGCTAAGGTGTTACATTTTGGTATCATAGCCTAGTTCTCTCTGTCTGCACTTTGTAAGCGAGATTCTGGGTGTCCGCATCCTTGAAGAGCGAGGGCCAATAGAAACCTGACTGTAGCACCTTCCGCGCCGTGCGGTTTCCTCCATGGTGACCTCCAGTAGGTCCCTCGTGGCATTAAGACAGGATGTCTCCCATCTCGTGCTCCATGACACAGCGCCGAATCACGCCATCTGCTCCGATTTTGAAGAGGTAAGGATCCTCCCAGAAGTAATGCTTCAGGTCGGAGAAGAACTTGCGCTTTGCATGAGTGGCCATCCCCTTAGGTAGCTGCTTGCCCACCAGATAATTGGCGAAGTCAGAATACCAAGGGACCACGCTGTCTACCAATGTCATCGCCAGCAATCTCTCACCCGGGAAGGAGTCATCGATCTCTTCCACGCGATCAACCTCAATCCCCTGCTTGGAGATCTTGTGCCCGAGCACAATCCCCTCATGGACCATAAAATGGCACTTCTCCCAGCTGAGTGCCAGATTAGTCTCCTCGCACCTCTTCAGAACGAGTTCCAGGTTATGGAGACAATGAGTGAAGGAGTCTCCATAAACCGAGAAGTCATCCATGAAGACTTCCATGATCTCTCCGACCAGTCGGTCGAAGATCGCCATCATGCATCTCTGGAAGGTCGCCGGTGCATTACACAGCCC